CTCTCTCTCTCTCTCACACACACACACACACACACACACACACACACACACACACACACACACACACACCCCGCATCGTTGGTGCCACGGCCCACAGGGTCACATGCCAGCGCCCTGCCTGCTGTGGCAAGGCCGCGGCGTGCCTGCGACTTGTTTATTCTATAGAAACATCAATGACCAATCCTCAGCGCCTCATAGGTACGAGCGTCTACGGTGACTCGTGACGTCGTGTCTGAGAGGGCTCCAGTCTTATAAGTGGGGAGCAGCACTTGCTGGTAAACGGCGTCCAGCGTCCCAGAGGTAGAGCACTTCAACATGCCATCAGCCCCCTGCTGGGGGACTCCATTGGCACAGAGGCGAGGTCGTCTGACTCAGGGCTAAGCACATTCGACTCCGGCTGCCGACATTTTTAATACCCACAGGACCCACCCACTCACTCACTCTTGCACGCCGACTCTGGCTGTGGACTGGGTCGCCCAGAAGACCACGCCTTCCGACCTTCTGTACCACCCTACTCGTGCTCGTGTGTTTTCATAACTGTGTGTGCTGCAAGCCTGCAACAATCATGGCTTCTCGTTCTCGGGTCTCCTCCATCGCCGCAATTGTCAAGTCGAGAAGAAGATTACCGTCGTCGTCGCGTGCTTTGGTTGTCGTCTTCATCCTTTGCGTTGCGGTTTCTCTTCGACCCATCGAAGCCAAGGACCGTGCGTATGGCAGTATAGCTATAGCGGATGTGGACGTCGATGACCCCAGCGAAACGAAGGTCCTGGAGCCTAGCCATAGCCGTGCAGCTATCGGAGACCGCGAGAGTGACGAGCATCTGCAGCCCGACGACCAGGAAACGAAGGAGCGTGGCTATGGCGGCACAGCCATGGGAGAGGTCGAGGATGAGTTGCCGCCGGCGGACCATCTTGAGCCCCAGCAAACGATGGAGCGTGGCGATGGCGGCGGCAGTAAGCTTCGTCTGGCCCAAGTCGGCGAGCTCGACGACCATCGTGAGCCGGATGAAGAGGAAGGGTCTGAGAGACAGAGCGACTCCTTGTTGAAGTTTTTGGAGCTCGGCAAGACCGGCCGAGAGCTGCGAGAGTGTAATCCAGCCACCTGCAGAGGAGCGAGACGCTGTTGCAACGGGACGTGTACGTTTGTCCAGTTCAATGCGAAGAACTGTGGAGCGTGTGGCGTGGTGTGCGGCAACGAGAAGGACTGCTGCAAGGACGTGTGCATTGACCTGGACACCGACTTTTCGAACTGTGGTCGCTGCGGGGCTGCATGCAGTCGTGGAAGCACGTGCTGTGGAGGCCAGTGCGTCTCGTTGGCCAGTAGTCCGACGAACTGCGGCAGGTGTGGGCTGAGATGTGTGCGAGGGAGCTCGTGCTGCGGGGGGAAATGTGTGAACGTGCGCGTGCATAGAAGCCACTGCGGGAGGTGCGGCCGAGCTTGTCCGGCTGGCAATGGCTGCTGCAATGGCCAATGTGTCCCGCTGAGTACCAGCAATAACTGCGGGTCCTGTGGCAAAGTGTGTAGCATCCAAGAGAACTGTTGTAGCGGCAAGTGTGTGAACACCAAACGGGACAAGAACCACTGTGGGAAGTGTGGCAACGTGTGTGAGAACAACTTGGCCTGCTGCAACGGCCGGTGCACTGACCTGGAGTATAACGACGACAGCTGCGGAGCTTGCGGCCGGCGTTGCAGGCTCGATTCCGCCTGCTGCGGAGGCAGTTGTCATGACCTCAGCAATGACGACGAGCACTGCGGAACATGCGACAATCCCTGCGCCTTGCCATTCATCTGCGCCTATGGAAACTGCTTACACTACTAAGCTACTACTCTCTCTCTCTCTCTCTCTCTCTCTCTCTCTAGGCACTTGTCAGGACCTCAGCAAGGACGACGAGCTCTGGGGAGCATGCGACAATCCCTGCTCGTTCCACTCATCAGCGCCTACGGAAACCGCTCGCGCACTTCTCTCTCTCTCTCTCTCTCTCTCTCTCTCTCTCTCTCTCTCTCTCTCTCTCTCTCTCTCTCTCTCTCTCTCTCTCTCTCTCTGTGTGTGTCTCCATGTATATGTACTTGAGTGCTTATTCCCAGACACCTATTGGCACACTCTAGAGACTAGAGATAAAGCATTCAGGGATGAAAAAGCGGGACGTACTTTCCTGATGTCGAGTATGGCACTGAGACTGTGAGACAGACTTAGGGGGGACGAAGAACGGAGGGAGAATCAGAACGAAGGAAGGATGTGACAAGCAGTTCAGACAACTACCGGTAGCTCTAGGTCGGATGCATGCAGGTCTCTTATCCCACGTGGATGAACATGTCGAGAGAAAGTCCGTACTGATGATGACGACGACGTAGTCTTATTATAGACCATTTTCGAAAATTTAATGCCTTATACCGTTATACGGCACAGGTGACAGGTGTGACAGAAGAAGTGGGTATGCATTGGGGAATATCCATCACGGATGATTTCTCCTCTCTGTACCGTCAAACTGACCAGTGACAGCAATCTCAGTTTGCCCTGTCCGTGCGGGTGAAGACATGCTGCAGAACGGGAAGTTCAGAAACAGGACTTCCGCTATTCCGGTGAGTCTGGTAAGTCGTGTCCGTACAGGTGATCAGGTACGGACCGTACGGTTAGAGGCTGAGTTACTGAGTACACTAAGTACAGTACATAATATTCCGGTGAGGCTGGTNCTAAGTACAGTACATAATATTCCGGTGAGGCTGGTAAGCCGTGTCCGTACAGGTGATCAGGTACGGACCGTACGGTTAGAGGCTGAGTTACTGAGCACACTAAGTACAGTACATGATGTTCCGGTGAGGCTGGTAAGCCGAGTCCGTACAGGTGATCAGGTACGGACCGTACCGTTAGAGGCTGAGTTACTGAGTACACTCAGTACAGTACATAATAATGTCATGATTGTGGTGTCTAGAATGTCCGATGTACATTATCAGAGAAAGGTACTCGTTAAGTTTATGGGCACGTCGTTTGAGGGGCCATGTGGTCCGTAGCGAAATCAGGTAGCTACCGCCTAGACGAGAGTCTTCTGTAAGTTCTGTTCTCTCAACTTATATCGAGTCAAATATGCCGTTGACTAGTCGTAGTATTGGATTGGGACGCCGTGGCATGCGGGGGGCTGTGCCCTGATGGGCGGATGGGACGGAGGCGAAGGACATGATGATGATGATGATGATGATGGCCGTGGTCGATCACGTAGAGGACGGTAGAGCGGCTTTCCTTTAGAAAACTTTAAGAAGAGAAAAAAAAAAAGCAGGGAAACGTGTGAGCAAGCCCTTGTTAGGATTCTTAGGAATGACGAGGAATCCTACGCTTTGCGGCTTTGACTAGCGTACTCCACCTGCCCCGTAGGGGACATCGCACTCCGACAGCTGATTTGTGAATGCTTGTCCTGTCGTAACACTGTCGTTAGCTGCGGGCCTGTGTCTATAATACTACCGTCTTCACCCGAATAGAACGCCCGGTAATTATGGCCGTATCTGGACTGAAAAGTGCATCAAATACGGCTATATTGACCGGGCGTTCTATTCCGTTGAAGACGGTAGTAAGACGTGAACTTCGACGTAATAGGCCCCTGACTCAGTTGACTGTGCTCACATGCATGATGATCATCCAGGAAATCCTAGTGTGTGTCCGGCTGCTGCGGCTGTAATTACGACCTCAGCCTGAGGAATTGTAAAATGCCAACGCAAGTCTTAGAGCAAACGTAGTGATCGAGAATTCAGTTGCTGATGGCCTCTTTTCTGCTTAAAGTTTGTAGTAATCGATTCCAGTCTTTTTGTTGCCAGATGGCACACTGTCAGATGGTTCGTTCAACTTCGTTGAACCTCGTTCTACTTCAACAGGGTCTGTCAGAGAGTTCAACTTAGGGTAGACGCCGTTGAGTGCAATGTGCATTGTTTTTTTTTTTTGTTTTTTTTTTGGCTGTTCCGTACGAGTCACTGCGTGCCGTACGAGTCACAGTGCGGCAGTCCCCCGACATGATGTGGCAAGCTACGTACACGTCGTACAGTGAAGATCGGTGCTACGAGATTGTACTCTGCGAGTCTGCGTTGCTGCCATAGGTTGTCCTGACTCCTAAGAGCTTTGAAGTTTGAATTCCGTTGTGTGTGTGACAATGTTACTACCCAGCGTTGGGCACTGGGGCAGCGGGGCCCTTCTTTGGCTCAAAATTTGAGGCAGTCGGTCTTACGTTGTGAGTCTAGTGACGAACTTATGAGACTGTTCCGTCATTGTGGCCAAAGCTGTGACAGTCGGACAGGCCCCTTTTTCGCCGTCCCGTAAAAGTTGGAGTAGCAAGTATTGCCATAGACTCTACCGCCACTGTTGGCTGAAGCTGTCCCTTTTTGGCCGTCTAGGGGACTACGGCTTCCCCTCTTTGCTGCAGTTGGTCTACTTAGTTCTGGAGGTTTCCTTTTTTCCTCCCTTTAACTTTCAAGCATTAGCACACAGACTGTAACCAGTAGGACATGAGCAATAGCTCACACTGTCAGAGTGTAAAAGGTAGGATAGGAGATGCAGGCTTAGGGGGGAATGCCTCAGAGACTGTCTAAGAGCGTACTAGCCACACTGAGACTGTCCATAGCTGAATGTGGCTGCAAATACGGCCCACTGTGGATGTCATCTGGCCGTAATTATGTCCACAGAGGAGTCGACAAAGTTTATTTGATTTTTGTTTTTTTTATTTTAAGAGTCGACGAAGTTGCTGTGTCAGTATGGCCGAGGAGGAGAAGAAGAGGAGACTAGGGAGGCGTTTTGTCTTTTCTGATCGGGCTTGAGTAGCTATTAGTAGCGGATCTTCTGCTGCTTTATGACGACGTGCAACGGTGGAAGACATCTACTCCTCACGACGTGGAGGAAGACTGTCTGCCTATCTTTCGAAACAACATGTCCAGTGCAGCCTGCTGCTTCAACGGTGAGTCGGAGACCATTAGATGAATAGATGGCCTACGGGTAGGTGAGTTTTTTTTTTGTTTTTTTTTTCTTTCAAAATGGTGAGGAGGGGGGGGGTGTATTCAGGTCGTGTGTTGTGTGTATTTCAATCAGTTAGTTTCACCTGAAAATTCTCATTACTATAAATAAGCAAGCGGACCTGCCGCGGCTACGCCGGCGGCAAAGTTCGTACAAGGGGCAACTCCACCGCCGCCTCCTCTGTTGTGTCTTTCCCCGTCCCAGTTCGCCAACTCCGCGGTCTCCACCTCCACCTCCACCTCCTCCGCGTCGCCCTTCCTCCTCCCAGTTCTCCACCTCCGCCTGGCCTTCCCTGGCTCCTCGTCACCCTCTGTCACCCCCCTCCTTCCTTCTCCCATCTCCAGTCTCCTTTCCTCCTCTCCCCGCTGCTGCATTGTCTCGCCTGCTCATCTCCTTCTCATCTTCCTCCGCGCACTGGTCATGCTCGTTACTCTGCTCCGTGCGCCAAAGGCGCATCCTTTCGATGCTGCGTGGGTGATACTGGTATGGAGAGTGGATGGCATCATTGCACGATATAAACTTGGGATAATGTGGATGATGGTACTATAAGCACTGCAGGGCTCTCTCTCTCTCTCTCTCTCTCTCTCTCTCTCTCTCTCACACACACACACACACACACACACACACACACACACACACACACACACACACACACAGATGTGGCTGAATGGTACACACGTGTGAATGGAGCAATTTGTTTGTACGAGTCAGTCCGACCGTATCTGGCACAAAAAACGTCCAGGTAAGTGTACATAATTGTATTCCAACATCATGATGGCCGCCCATATTCCCGTGTTCTAGCAGAAGATTCATTCGCATTTGTACAGGTACTCGTATTCCAACATGGTGGTGCATATTCCCGCGTTCTAGCAGAAGATTCATTAGCGTTTTGTACACACGACCCGGGCCCCCAAAACAGAAGACATTGGGAAGGATACACGGGCCCGGCGGCGCATCTTCCAATTTTATAGCAGGATGTTCGTTCCTTTCTTGTACTTCAGATCAGTGGCGGGGCGTGTTGGCCTTAAGACACTGCTGTTATTGGGTTGGGGGTGGGGGAGGATGGAAAGGGAGGCGCAGCTACTGGCAAAATGCTCGGTCTTTGCCTTAGCCGGACGCCTCCCACCGGCGGCCCCACCCAATCCTTGACCACCATGGTTGGGGGGAGGGGTGCAACATGCATCCCCTCTGATGGGGGCTTGGAGGCAGACAACAAAGCTATGTTTGCAGGGGTCCGCTGTCTAAGCCTTAGGAGTAGTGATAGATAGGTAGTGAAGGTGAGTTGAAAGAATTTGAAAGATGATGAAAGATTTGAGAGAAGAATATAGGGTAACTAAAAAAAAAAAAAAAAGGAAGAAGAA